ATATATATATATGTACATGTATACACACCTGTCTCTCCATACATATATATATATATATATAATACACATGTAGCCCGGCACAAACCCTTAATGATGCAAGGCTGTAAGACAAGCCTTTGGTCCCAGGAGCTTTGGTCGAACCTGAAGTTCCTCAACTGGCCGTCAGTCGCCTGCAGGAGCAGAAAAACTCAAAGAAGCGCAAAACCCTGGGGGCTTTACGGGTTTATTGGGCCTTTGTAGGATCTCGGGGATTTTGTGGTGAAGATTTTGGGACTTTGGGCGGAAAGTATAAATGGCGCTCTTCGGGCTTGACCTCTCTGGGAGTAGAAGTTGGCACTGCAGGGCTTTAGGTCGTACTTCGAAAAGGTATAAGATTTGGGGCTTTCGGGCTTGGGGCTTAGCGCTTTAAGCGTGCGCTTTGGGGCTTGAAGCTGCAGGTTTTTTGGCATTACCTGAACCCCAATCAGGTGCCATTCTACTTATCTTATTAAGGAAGTCGAGATAAGGAGCCGAAAGATTTATGTTCGGAGCTTCTGAGCTAAGTTAGTACAAGGGCCGGAAGAACTAGGATAGGGCTTTAACCTCTAAGCCCTACAAGCCCTAGACCCTAAACTCGAAACCCTACAACCTAAACCCCAAAACCCCAAACCCCACGCACCCATGTAGATATGCCAGGGAAACCCTTTCTTCGACGTTCGATCCTAGGGTGGGAGTCTGCCAGCAGCCTTTGGGGGGTCGCAAGGGTTTAGGGTTGAGGGTTTAGGGTTTAGAGTTTAGGGCTTAGGGGGTATAAGGGTTCTACTAAGAGTTCTAAGGTAGCTGTAAGGGTTGCTAAATTTGCTAGACGGGCTTTGCTAGACGGGCTCCTATACCGGCTTCCAAGAAGAATACCTGGCAGATGGGGCCCCTTGGAGAACCAAGGACCTTGCGATCCCTGATATCCCCAATCAGGATGGCAGCAACAGCATAATCTGCTCCTAAGGTTTTGTCAAGTATGTGCTGCGATATGGATGTGCCTGGGAACAACAGGAAAGCTTAAAGAAACACAATAGCAGCAGGACTGCAGCATGGAGGCACCTTCCAGAGTGAGCCCTAGACCCTAAACCCTGGGAGCCCTTAAGCCGCTCACAGACATCTTTTCCAGTAGCCCTACTGATCAAACCCTTTTCAGCCCGATAGTAACCCTGAAACGAAACACTATACTGAAGAAACGCGCGCCTTAATGACCATGGGGTTTTGGCACGGTCCATGGGTGCGTAAGATTTGCAAAAACGTAGTAAACGTGAGGTTCTGTGCACTTGTGTGACGAAGAGGTTTGTTTGGGATGCTTAGACCAGAAAAAGTACCATTTTTGTTGCCAGGTTTTGTGTCTCGAAGCAAAAAAAGCACTGGCCCCAGTGGGGGATGTCCCACCTTCCGAATGCGAGTTGTGCAGCCAATCGACAACTGCTTTGAAGTATTGGAAACCGAACATAGAGGAAAAGCGATGATTGTGACGGTGATGACGGCGATGATGGTGATGATGATGATGATCGCCTGCATATTGATGATGTTCATGGGGATGGTGGCGAAGTGCACGTCATTACCCCGCCCCCACCCCACCCCACCCCCCCAACCAGGGGAAGCCTTAAACCCGCAAACACCTGCCAAAACCCCATGGTCATTAAGGCGAACCCGCAAAAACCTGCCAAAACTGCATTGTGATTAAGACGTGCGTGAGCTGCGTGAGCAAAAACGAGAGAGAGAGAGAGAGAGAGAGAGAGAGAGAGAGCGAGACAAGCAGAAGCACCACCGCCTTGATCACGAGCGACGCCTGCTCGGAGGATTGGAAGCTCACAGCGGAACCTCCCTGCGACTCCTGCGGCCAAGCTGAACTTCGCTTGAAGGGCTCAACTCTAGGAATTAGGATAAGGTTTCCCGTTCCTGTAGGCTTCGAGACGGGCTGCGAAAAGAGTTGCAAGGCTTGTGGTCGAGGGCTTGGGGCTTCGGGCTTTCTGGTTGAAGAACAATCCTAACTTAGGCGGTTTTGCTTCTGCGGCACGATAAAGATGGTGACCTCGACATGTGCTGCTCTTTGTATCTCTGCATTCCCTGACTCGATGTTACCGATTTACACACACACACACACATATTACACCCCAAGCCCAAAGCGATATGCCGTCTTCTTTTGCCAACCATAGCTCAAGTCCTCGTTCTCGTTCATGGGCCGAACTCGGATCGCGACATGGATATTCTCGGCCGACATGGTTGTCACGACGACCGCGCTGGCCACACGAATTCATGCACGAAAACGCTACTTTCAGGGTTAGGACTGAGGAAGAATCGAGCATCTTCACCCCTGACCTTTGACTTTGAACATTCTGGAAAAGTTCCGTTTACGGGCTGGTAGGTAGGGTGTATGGTTCAGAGAGGCTCAGGGTGTCTAAGGGTTAGGCCAAGGGGCACAGGCTTCCGGCTCAATAACAAATCGAAACACCAGCAGCTATGTGACACATCTTGAGTTTACGGCCCAAAAGTCAACATCTACCGCACAGCTTTCGCACTGAGCCACAGCAGCTGCAAAGTCCTGTACTTGACGGGTGCACATCAATGCAGTCATGCAACACTGGGAGGAAGTATGTGAAAGGCGATAATCTTCAAGCCTTAACCCTAAATGCTAAACCCGACACATGGTTCAGGCACTCCCGAACTTCATGGCTTTAGGGCTTCTCTCTGCTGGCGCTTCTAGTGCAATTTCTTTGGCCACGAAGGGGTGAAGCCCAAGTCTCGGGCACCCTGAATCCTAAATTCCATGCTGTAATCTAATCCGCCACAGCCCAAGTTCCA